CCAAAGGGAAAACCAGATGATTTTTGGAGGGTCCCTAAAAAGGCACACCCAGGTGGCATAGACTGGGGCCACATGTAAGATCTCAGTGCGAATTTGATGGCAGGGATCGCGGCATGCCACCGCAGCAACCAAGCAACCAACACCAAGTGAATGTGTTTGACATGAGTTGAAGATGAAGTTGCCCGCCCACAACTTGCTGGAGATTCCGGAACCGGAACGCAATCCAGGTTGTGGGATCAAGGAGATTATCCCCACTTCTGTGATACAAGGGAATCCCCTCTTTAAATGCGGAATTGTTGTTTTTTGGTGACCCTTCTGGTTGTAGAGAAGTGGATTCCATTTCAACCACAGCCCTGTGTAGGTGGGTACATTGTTTTGACATGGCGTGGCGCGTTGCCTTTTTCCACTGCCATGACGCCCGCCGCGTTCAAATCCGCTCGCGCTGAGGTGGGATTTGCACCTACAGCCTCACAGTCCTGGACTGTGCGAAGGCGCGTTGAGTCTGCGAAGAAACAAATGACGAGGTCCCTTCGCTTCCCGAGTTTCCTGGACGATTTGTTGGGTTGAAGACATGTTGGTGGTAAAAAGACAAAAAGTAGTTCAGGCTTTGTGTGGCAAACCGACTCGTGTGAGTTCCTTTGGGATCCCAGGAGCATTGCTGGGGCCCAAAAGGTCCAGAATTGATCACGGATAGGGCAAGCGTTGCGCTCTGCACGAATTGCAGGTGCACCAAATGGGTGTTTTGACAAGAGGGGTTTCCGCGCTGAATGGTGTTTGAAGTGGCCAAACAGAACTTGCTATCTACCTTATGTTTGAGACCAAGCCAAATGTTTGACCGTTAACATCAATATTTGTACTTGCTTGCCTTTTGCGACCTCATGGAATTGGCTATGATTTTCACCCAGGGCCTACATGAAGCTGTATAGCTAGGTCAGTAGAACCAGCTGGTGTCTTGGAGAGAGGGTACCCATTGAAACTCCGTTGACATGCAGTGACCTGTGTTCATTCCTTTAAAAGGGTTCTCATCTTTCAGAGATTCCCTTGGCCACTGGCCAAGCATTCGGAAATCCTGATGTGTTTCTTGCCTCGCAGCGGGATCTTGAACAAGAGGTGCATGCGTCGAGCCCAGGAGATGACTCATGCATGGCACATAACGGTCTCAGAGGCGCCTGTTTTCCGTTTTCTACCCTCCCAGAAACATGGAATCCTCACAAGGACAACCGATTTCCTGTAAAAAGGACCTCCCAAAGGTGGGTTCCATGGCGTCAGTGGACCGGAGGGGAAAGGAAGATTTCATGTCCATATGTCCGGTCCACGGCACATCTCCGCCAGGGAATGGAGAAAGCCATCCAATGCGGATGGTTCGACTGGAAGCAGAGACTTGGATTTCAGAGTTCTCGTATCCGTAATGCCACGCTGCCAACGTCCGAAACACACAAAAGTCGAGAAAAGCCGAGCCGATATATGCGCGAATCAAGCTGGTGAGCTGTGGGTTTTGTGTACAGTAGTCCAGGCAAGTTGTGGGGGTCGCATGGGTGGGTCGGTATTTTCTAGGTTTGTGCAAGAGGGAAGCTGCTCGGAGAACCTCCCTGCAAGTGGAACCGGCTTCCTCGGCAAGGGCATCTTTTTTTGTTTACAGGTCATAAATCCCCGGTTTAGAGCTCATTTCAACCAGCTATCATGTGTCAAAACTAGGAAGTCTTTTGGGAACCACCAAGACAAGATAACCCATTCTAGGAATTTGTTGATGGTGATTCCTCTTCTTTTTAGCCATTGTTTGTTTCAACCAGCCATTTCCCCCTGAGGTTTTGGTTGGAGAGATTCGATTGGCATTTGGAGTGGTGGCCATATTTTCTTGCTGGTCCTTCTTTGTTCCCCCTTAAACCGGTTACTCCTAGATGCATTTGTTTGTTGGGCCCGAAGCGAGCCGACCTACTGACCACACGAGGGCAGACGATTGGGTCCTTTTTTCTGGGGCCATTATTTTGACTGCTTGGGGTTATCTAAGTTCGCGGGAGGGGGGGGTCCCTTTAACCAATCACTTGGGTGACTTTGAGCAGTGGATCCCAGTTACCAGTATAATCGGTAACCAGCTATTGTTCTTTTGATTTCTTTCAAGGGTTTCCTTGGTTCCCTATAGGCAATTGGAATCACTGGAAATGGTAAGATCATGGGGCGAGTTGGTTGTCCGCCCCAAATTCTAACCTGAACGGGTGAGCAAGCAGCCAAAGTTCCATCTAGGTTCTCCTTGGTTTTCCCTTCCGGCGGTGCATGTCGGCTTTCGAGCCTTCCACTCTACTCGAAGATGGTTTGGCCAGTTTGAGCTTCGGAGCCCTTAGCAAAGCTTGCTTATCCATGACTTGCCCGAAGCAGACTTGTTGACCTTCACTTTGCCCTTGTTGGCCCATGTTGAGTCATGGCACCAAAAAGTGATCACCTTTCTGGGTCCTCTGGGCTGAGCAGGGTTTCCTCTTCCCTTGAAACCTCGAAACGTGCGATC